TATAAATAGCACCTTCTCAGAGTGGATCAACCAGTTTGCTGCTGACAACCAAAACCAGCTGATCACATACTCAAGAAGGACCATCAGCCTAACAATGGATCATTAGCACACTGATGGCTGTTTACTATTCACAGGGGGTTGAGTGATACTAGCAATCACAGCATTGTAAGAGGGGGACAGTTGAACCCGGAGGCCTCCACCCCTGTTTAATGATGGACTATTTCTTTTCACAAAGATGGCCTCCTTTACTCCTCTCTCAAACCATGGTTCCTCTCTGTTGTAGTGAGAGAGCCGAGAGATGGATTTAGCTCAGGGGTGCTCTCTTACATTTTATAATATCTGGACTAGTTCAAGTACATGATATTATACTTAATTTAAACAGATTATTTCATTTTTCTGGACTAAGTGATATTGTGCTTAGAAGTACTGTGTCGGAGATGGTCTAATCAGTGACGTGAGACGTTAATTTTCTTTGACCCATCAAAATGAATGTGGTCATTTATTAACAGAATCAAAATTTAACATCAAACATTGTACACTTGATTATTCTGATTGAATGCAATAACACAGCTTAATTAATGAGCTTTACAATGAGAAATCATACGGCCATGATTTCTTACTTGCAGCTAAAACAACAGACATTTCTGAAGATATCTTAAATTAATATCTGCAGGCTTAGCTTATCTTTTACTGGCGAGATAGAAGAGTTTTAAAGATGGGGAATGAAGGAGTTTAAATGGAGAGAAAAGATGTGGATGAGGATGTATGTCTGTAGACCAGAACAACACGCTCCTTTCAAGCGCAGTTCGCCCGCAGTACACTGGTAGTGAAGCTCATGACGACTCTTTTACCTTGGCGGAGGATGAATCCGCGGCGGTCAAGAGGTCCCTGGTACGCTACCTTTCAGCGTCTCCTCAGGGCGGCTGCGACTCGGCAGAAGTCGTGAGAACTCGTTCCACAGAACAAACTTCCTCAGAAGTTATAGGGCATTCACCGGGTGGAGCCACAGCGAAGCGTCGTGGCTCCGACAGGAACTCCAGCCGAACTCCATCAGTACCAGAAGAACTAAGGAACTCAGAACTTCTGTTCTCTCTCGGAACTTCTGTTCTTCCCCCAGAACTTCGGATCTCCTGTGCTCCCAGAACTCCTGAGACTAGGAAGTGTCGACCTTTAAAGAGTTCTGTTTCCGGTCCCTTTTGGGAAGTCCTGATTGGTTGAAAGAACCAACAGGGGTGTGGTTTTAGTGACGTAAGAGGGTTACTACGAGTCAGAAAAACAGTGAGATGTTTAGGAACAGACAGAGAAATGTTTAGGAACAGACAGAGGAATGTTTTGGAGAAATGACAGACTACAGGTGCCAGCTTCTCTGTTTCTGTCTGAGAGGTTTAAAAACATGACAGTTCGTTCCAATAAACTTGTTTGCGACTGTCTCCGACTTTTGACCGATATCACTCCTTCTCATTTCAGAGAGAAGATCAAAATGCATAATTACTTTGTAACATAGACATTTAAAATGATTTCTACTTTGAATGAGGATTAAAAAATCATTAATACTGTTTCACAGTTGATTTAAAATGAGTAGTTCACTTCAACATTTAAAATGGTTTGAACTAAGCACACTTTTGATTATCAAGACATTTGTAAAAATAGTAATGATAATATAAAAAGAGAGTGTTCTTTCAATTGATTAGTTCAGGATACAAATTGGAAAGTCTCTGGATGAGCTTAATTTGTATTTCTGGATTCAAATCAATGAAATAACAGTTTCTGTCCCATGAAGGTCTTCAGGGTCAGGTTTTGACCTGAGGCTTAGTTCACTACACTGTCCAGGATGTGAACATCTTCATCCTTGAAAGAGTGACCGCTGGCCTGGAGATGAGTGTAGACCGCAGAATCCTGGCCTGATGATGTTGATCTTGTGTGCTGGGCCATCCTTTTGGCCAGTGGCTGTTTAGTTTCCCCAATGTAAGACTGATCACAGCCCTCCTGACACTGAACAGCATACACAATATTACTCTGTTTGTGCCAGGGGACTGGATCTTTGGGATGAACCAGTCTTTGCCATAATGTATTTTGGGGTTTAAAAGCAAGATCCTTCAGAAGGCACAGACCCAGCTGCTGAATGAACGGGTGAGACAGACCAATTTTACTATCAAGGCATTGAAGGCCAAAGAAGAGCACATTAAACAGAAACTAACTATGTGTCTAGATCAGACCACACTTCAGCAAGTGTTGGACTGTACAGATCAGGCACGCTTAGCACAGCATGTCAAGTCCAAGACTCGACAACAAAATAAGTTTAACTTACTAATAACTCATCAACACCATCATTATTCCAATAACAACACATTCAGTGTAGGACAACACTCCAGTAGTCAATTACATGCCAGGGAGACAGAAAAGTGGGTGAAGAATTTATCTGACAGACAGCTCACCCAGCCAGAGACAGAAATTCTTGCCAGGGGACTGAACTTTGCGGTTGCACCAAGTAGAATTCCTCTGGTGGAGATGATCACAGCCACAGAATCAGCCATCCGCAACAACAAAATGAAAGAGGGTGAAGCAGAACAGCTCAGAATCAAAGTTTCAGCCTGCCTCAGCAATGCCAAACCACCACCTTCCAAAATCAGTAGAGAGGAGAGGGATGCACTCACCACTCTTAGCAAGGACAAAAACATCATCATTCTCCTAGCAGACAAAGGAAGGTGCACAGTGATTTTGAACCAGAAAGACTATCATGAGAAAGTTATGACACTCCTTAGTGACCACTTATGAACCTCTGTAAAGAGATCCAGGAAGTGGTTACAAGAAGAAGTTAATAGATTGCCTGAAAAATTTGGAGCAGGACAAGGCTATTGACAGTTTTCTGTACCACAGACTGTACCCAGGGGAGGCCACACCTAGTCTTTATGGTTTACCTAAAATCCACAAACAAGGTGTACCTTTAAGACCTATTGTTAGCATGATTAACTCTGTCACTTACAATGTTTCCAAATATCTGGCATCTGTACTCATCCCTTTAGTTGGCAGCTCAGAACACCACATACAGAACACCATGGACTTTGTGGATAAGGTGAGGGATGTCATCATGGCGACTGATGAAACAATGGTCTCTTGTGATGTCACATCACTCTTTACGTGCATTCCTGTTGATAATGCAGTAGAGGTGGTCAGTTTAAGATTAAAATCAGACACCACTCTGAGCAGCAGGACCACACTTTCCACAGAACAACTGTGTCAACTCTTGAAACTGTGCCTGCAGTCAACCTCCTTCACATATGGGGAGCAATATTCTAGGCAGAAACATGGGTGTGCTATGGGGTCTCCAGTTTCTCCTATTGTTGCCAACCTGTACATGGAGGAGGTAGAAAAGAGAACCTTGACGTGCTTTTCAGGGACACCACCAAGTCATTGGTTAAGGTATGTTGATGACACCTGGGTTAAAATTAAATCTCAGGAAGTCCAATATTTTCAACACATCAAGTTCACACGAGAAGATGTAAAAAATGGCAAGTTGACTTTCTTGGACTGTGAGGTCTCAGTCTCTGATAGAGGACATTTGCAAACCGAGGTGTACCGCAAACCCACCCACACAGACCAGTATTTGCAGTTTGACTCCCATCACCCTTTGGAGCACAAGTTAGGAGTCATCAGGACTCTGTATCACAGAGCAGACAGCATCCCCACTAACTAGGGAGAAGGAGAAATCCTACACAAAACAGGCTCTAGAGCAATGTGGATATCCTAACTGGGCCTTCCTGAAAGCAGAGAAGAAACCCAAACAGGACTCCAGTCAGCCATCAGGTGAAAAGGAGGAACCCAGACCCAGACCAGTGGTCATTCCGTATGTTGAGGGAGTATCAGAGAAACTGAGACGTTTATTTTCTAAACATAATGTCCCAGTGGCTTTTAAACCCCAAAATACATTACGGCAAAGACTGGTTCATCCCAAAGATCCAGTCCCCCGGCACAAACAGAGTAATGTTGTGTATGTTGTTCAGTGTCAGGAGGGCTGTGATCAGTCTTACATCGGGGAAACTAAACAGCCACTGGCCAAAAGGATGGCCCAGCACAGAAGATCAACATCATCAGGCCAGGACTCTGCGGTCTACACTCATCTCCAGGCCAGCGGTCACTCTTTCAGGGATGAAGATGTTCACATCCTGGACAGAGAGGAACCATGGTTTGAGAGAGGAGTAAAGGAGGCCATCTTTGTGAAAATAAATTGTCCATCGTTAAACAGGGGTGGAGGCCTCCGGGTTCAACTGTCCCCCTCTTACAATGCTGTGATTGCTAGTATCACTCAGCCCTCTGTGAATAGTAAACAGCCATCAGTGTGCTAATGATCCATTGTTAGGCTGATGGTCCTTCTTGAGCATGTGATCAGCTGGTTTTGGTTGTCAGCAGCAAACTGGTTGATCCACTCTGAGAAGGTGCTATTTAAGAGACTGAGCTGAAAACAGCACCTCAGACTGAGGAAGTCTCTTGGATGAGAGACGAAACGTTTCTACATTTTTTTGCTTTGTTTTTTTTTTTTTTTTTCTTTTTTGAATGTCCAGAGGACCAGATTGAACTTTTTTGGATTTTTCTACCTGGATTATTGAGCATGCATCAGGATGTGGCTTATACTCCGGAGCGACTTATAGGCCGGAAAATACGGTACTCAAATTGTGATTTTGTTGCTGAGAACAGACTAAAATGAACTTTCCAAACACAAGAAAACAACAAACATCCACTCAACTAATCAAATAAATTAAATATTTTTTTAATAAAAATATAAGGTTAGAGTTTAAGAGACTTAAAGTTTTGGATCTACAACAATTTAAAACTCTTTCTCCACCAAAATTAGTAAATTTTTGTCCTTTCTCCAAAATATTATTCACGTTGTTGTTGAGAGTTAAATTAGTTGTTGTGGCCCATGGGTCCTTTCATCTGGATAGTTTTGGCCCAGATATACAAAAGTTTGGACACCACTGAGTTAGTAGAACCAGAATGCTCACTGCAGATGAAGCAGGGCTTGTGGAAACTCCTGCCATTACACTGGATCTCCTCGGCGTGGTACACCGTCTTCTCACACGCTGCACACTTGGTTCCTCCACCCCAGTTTGGCATCTTAGAGATGAGGATCAACTGTAAAATAAGACTGAAGATGACCAATTTTTCTGTTTTAATTTAATACTCAGTCAAATATCGACATAGTAAACACAGGATTTATTTTTTTGTATTTTCCCAAAATAAGGAGGAGAGGTTGAGCACTGGAGGCCATCTTATCACCAATAAACTATTTTTTTCCACTCTGAGAGTGTGATGTTTGTGGGAATCAGTTAGTTTTGGTGGCTCCTCAGATTGAAGAAGTCCTTTGGATGAATGACAAAACGTCTCAGCAAAAAAAGAAACCGTCCAGATGACCTGACTGAACATTGTTGGATTTCTACCTGGATTACTGAGCAAGAACTATGGTGATCTGTAATAAGGATCTGTGAAATCCTTATTCCAGATTTATTTTCTCATACATGTTGGTTTCTAGCTAATTTGGGCTCATCCGATGCTATTCTACCCTTCCCCAGGTGTTGAGTTAGGAAAGCGAGGTTGGTGGGCTCAGATCAGCCTTCTGTCAGACATTCCAGTTTCCAAAAGTAACAAAAGTTGCCCATCGCCTCACATAACTGGTATGCACCATTAGGAAACAGAAGCCATCAAACACTACTGGATACGTTAGAACATGTTTGAACTTAATCACATGAAACTGTTAATAACTGAGAAAAATATTAAAAATGAATGATCTACCAAAGAGAAACTGAATAAATAATTAGCCTCTGATTTATAGTTGTCCTGTAGATGAACAGGAAGCCTTAACAAAAAGAAAAAAGTGCTCTTACCTTGGACTTTGACTCGTAATGTGACAGTTACCTCTCCAGACGGTTAAATACACTTCATCTCACCATCACCACAGTCCACCAGTGACGCCTACTCCTTAAAATAACTTGTGACTGAGCAGATCCCCCTCTGAACATCAGGCACTCAGACATTCGTTCTGGACACAGACTCAGAGTCCAGACAGCTGCGTGCACATAAGCATCCACACAGTGAGGATATTATTAGCTACACTGCAAGTTAGAGGATTAAAGCAATCACAACAAAAGTTGCTTTGCATAAATGGATTGTACTTATATAGCGCCTTTCTATCTTATCGAGATACTCAAAGTGCTTTATACTACAATCTGTGTCCTCATTCACCCATTCATACAGCACTCTACTACTTTGTAGATCTCTACAAAGCTAATTGAACAAATCATTCTAAATAGACTAATTAGAGCTTTATCACATTCATACACTGATGGGACACACATCAGAGACAACGAGGTGTTCAGTGTCTTGCCCAGGGACACTTCAGCATGTGACTGCTGATGGATTCGAACCCCCAATTCTTGCATTGGAGGACGACTGCTCTAACCACTCAGCCACAGCCGCCCAGTAAATAAGTCTGCTGCTCACAGATTTTTACAACAGGTGGAACATTTTAAAAGTCTGGCCTCAGGGTCACTGCTAAGAAAAGACCAAAGCTATTTTCTCCACTGATGCCTTATTGTGGTTTGTTTGTGTACACAAATAAAACATGACAATTTAGTCATGTTATAAGGCCAGATATCTGGTTAAAATTATTTTTTTTACACTTTCTTATACAAACCGGATTCCAAAAAAGTTGGGACACTAAACAAATTGTGAATAAAAACTGTATGCAATAATGTGGAGGTGCCAACATCTAATATTTTATTCAGAATAGAACAGAAATCACAGATCAAAAGTTTAAACAGAGAGAATGTATCATTTTAAGGGAAAAATCTGTTGTTTCCAAATTTCATGACGTCAACAAATCCCAAAAAAGTTGGGACAAGTCCATTTTTACCACTGTGTGGCATCCTCCCTTCTTCTTACAACACTCAACAGACGTCTGGGGACAGAGGAGACCAGTTTCTCAAGTTTAGAAATAGGAATGCTCACCCATTCATGTCTAATACAGGCCTCTAACTGTTCAATCGTCTTGGGCCTTCTTTGTCACACCTTCCTCTTTATGATGTGCCAAATGTTCTCTATAGGTGAAAGATCTGGACTGCAGGCTGGCCATTTCAGTACCCGGATCCTTCTCCTACGTAGCCATGATGTTGTGATTGCTGCAGAATGTGGTCTGGCATTATCGTGTTGAAAAATGCAGGGTTCTATGTCGTATAAGCTTCGCCCTTTAAGGCCTTCGCTTTAGTGGGTTTATCCCGTTATGCAGAGCATAAGCACTGAAAAAATTAGTCCACGCCCACCTGCTGTGTGGGCCCCACCCGGTCCGTATAAATTACGTTAAGAGCGGGAAATCGGCTCCCATTTTTTCTTCAGCGAGCTAATATAGCACTGTCAGAAGAACAAAGAAGATAAATTGTGTAAATGACCAACCTTTGTGAAGGATGCTTGGCCCGGCAGTCGACCTCCGGTTGTCCGGTGAGCTCTCCTCCCCGAGGAGAAGATGACGAGCAGTCTTATTCCAAGGTAAGCGTCGGGGAACATTTCCCAGTGACAGGTCACTACACGCTGGACAACGCCATCTTGTGTTTTTTCCTCTTATCACCGACCCTCGGGGCGAACCGGATGGTTCCTCCGGGGCAAGGCGTGCTCAGCTGCAGCCCCCGCTCCTCATTCCCTCCTGGGGAGCGTAGTGTAGGTGGAGGGGGGCTGAGTGAATGCTCACCCCATCCCACCTCGTTTCGCATCGGCGATCACACCGCTCCCGGCCGAC